CTCCCACCTGGCCCTCCTGCTCTCCCACCTGGCCCTCCTGCTCTCCCACCTGGCCCACCTGCTCTCCCACCTGGCCCTCCTGCTCTCCCACCTGGCCCTCCTGCTCTCTCACCTGGCCCACCTGCTCTCCCACCTGGCCCTCCTGCTCTCCCACCTGGCCCACCTGCTCTCCCACCTGGCCCTCCTGCTCTCCCACCTGGCCCTCCTGCTCTCCCACCTGGCTCTCCTGCTCTCCCACCTGGCCCTCCTGCTCTCCCACCTGGCCCTCCTGCTCCCCCACCTGGCCCTCCCATTCTCACTCATGGCCCTCCTGCTCTCCCACCTGGCCCTCCTGCTCTCCCACCTGGCCCTCCTGCTCTCTCACCTGGCCCACCTGCTCTCCCACCTGGCCCTCCTGCTCTCCCACCTGGCCCTCACGCTCTCCCACCTGGCCCTCCTGCTCTCCCACCTGGCCCACCTGCTCTCCCACCTGGCCCTCTCGCTCTCCCACCTGGCCCTCCTGCTCTCCCACCTGGCCCACCTGCTCTCCCACCTGGCCCTCCTGCTCTCCCACCTGGCCCACCTGCTCTCCCACCTGGCCCTCCTGATCTCCCACTTGGCCCTCCTGCTCTCCCACCTGGCCCTCCTGCTCTCCCACCTGACCCTCCTGCTCTCCCACCTGGCCCTCCTGCTCTCCCACCTGGCCCTCCTGCTCTCCCACCTGGCCCTCCTGCTCTCCCACCTGGCCCTCCTGCTCTCCCACCTGGCCCTCCTGCTCTCCCACCTGGCCCTCCTGCTCTCCCACCTGGCCCTCCTGCTCTCCCACCTGGCCCTCCTGCTCTCCCACCTGGCCCTCCTGCTCTCCCACCTGGCCCTCCTGCTCTCCCACCTGGCCCTCCTGCTCTCCCACCTGGCCCTCCCATTCTCCCACCTGGCCCTCCTGCTCTCCCACCTGGCCCTCCTGCTCTCCCACCTGGCCCTCCTGCTCTCCCACCTGGCCCTCCTGCTCTCCTACCTGGCCCTTCTCCTCTCCTACTTGTCCCACTCTCTTCTGCACGAAATCAGCTTGAGGGGAGGTGTTCAGCAAGGTGATCCTCTTGCTCCTCTTCTTTTGCCATTAGTCTTCATATAAATCACTGGAAGCTTGTCCAGCGAGTTCAACACCTTGCCCCCCTCGACCCCTTCTTGGTAGACATCATTTACGTCTCTCCCTTGTCCCTTGAAGTGTGAAGTAGTTTCCTCAATCCCAGACGTATTAGCAGAGTAAGATCCGTCTTGGCCGGAGTCCATGTCATTAGGGCTGTGAACTGCACTCTCCTTGGATCTAATGCCGTTGACGATTGTTATGATCCCAAGTAGCCTGAAGAACGAGTCTACCCTATGAGAGTTATTCAACAAACCAGACCCAACTGAGAGGTCAAAGGAAATATAGACATGTGAATATATATTAAATATTTGGCAAATTTTAATGATGAATTTAAAAACATGGGCAGAGGGTAAATATGCAAATAAGGACATGACATGAGATGTCGATATTTTGGTGGCAAGATGTGATGCTAGCAAGACGTCTTGACCCCACTTGAGTCGCAACTGTCATCAGAGGTGGATGTACTGTGTTGATCTCCTGCAAGGAGGAGGAATATAGTCCCCTGTGTTGGTGCTGGAGTGAAGAATACTTGTCTGCAAGTGTGAGGAAGCTGTTGGGGACTTAGTACACCATCTCTGTGACTTTGGTAATTAGAGGCGGCCTGGAAGTGAGTGTTTGGCCGCGTCTTGGTGAAACTCTAATTGATGTATCTTCAAGAGGAAGGAAGTGAGCAGGCGTTTCTGCTGAGGAATTTGTCTGGAAACGTTGCGGACTCAAGTCAGGGACTGCAGGAAGCTTGGTGAAGCAGTCCTGAACCATTTTTGATGGGCGACGTGTGTGAGCGCTATGTGAGCCTCATCATATGAACGCCCTGCATCAGATAAATTCTGTGGTAAGTCTATTTAACAAGTTGTTAGTTATTGCCTGTGATTGACCGTGAGCCCAGCGATCATGGCAAATGTTTATGGATATATTAGATACGTTTTGTTAAGGCAGTGAGCTGAAATAAGAGGGCAGAGATGAAGGAATGTCCTGGCGGGCAGAGTGACACGTTCACCCTCTCTGGAGGCCAGTGGCTGACTGAGTGAGGTGGCGGTGGCAGCCAGCGAGGTGGAGCGTGGAATCGCCCGAACGGGGGAGTACCCCTCGCGACGTGTGAGAGTTTAAGGAGATGTCGACGGAAGGAGACTTATTTTGTGTGAATACATTTAATTATGCTTTAGTAGGGAAACATTTTTATTGGCATGGCAATGGAAATTGCATGTTTGTTTGGTGGAGAAGTTGATGGAACTTCGAGGCCAGAGAAGTTAATGAATGGAACTTCAAGGCTGTAGAAGTGAATGCTGAACTCTGTGGAAGAGTAGAGCACCATAGTAAAGAGCGGACCTCAATCTGTGAAGAGGAGCAGTGAAGTTTCAAGTGCTTCTGTGGGATCAGTGGTGGAGCATCACTGATGTGCGAAGAAAACTTCATTGTGTAGCAGTCTGGGAGGGCTGTAGAAGATCTTTGTTGACAATTCTGAGAGAACCTAGAGTTATACAGGGTAGTGAGCCTCTAGGAGCAGAATGGAGGTTCATAGTTGTCACATATAATGTATAAGGAGAGTGCTTGAATGTTTATTGTCGTGTAAGACGCAGCGGAAGGTGAGGGATTGATTAGTTTTATGTTGGGGAATATTTATGCAGGGGTTTCTAGTGTCTCAGCCACATGCTGAGCTTTATATACTTTCAGAACTGATTGTGCAACAGTGATGTTTCTGGTGTTACAGCCATAGGCTGAGTTATATATATCTTCTAGGGCTGATTGTGCAATATTATTACTGTAATAACCTTACCTTCTCCTCCCTTCCTCTACTCAATGCCTCAGCTCAACACTGCTTGCAGCTCAGTAGGTTTTGAATTACATTATGACTAAATAAGACTTACACATACTCGACTGCCACCACCTTCCCGCTGACATACCTGATTGTGTCTAAATTATTGAACTCCCAGGAAGGAAGGAACTCAATAATCATGGGAACTCAAGGACTGATTCTAATATCCCTGAAATGGAGGAGAACACATGGGGACTTGGGGATTTCCAGTACCCGCACATAAAAACCCCATATAAAATGAATAAGACCGAATTAATCAAAGGGGAACAGATAACTAAACACAAATACATTAATACACTTTATTTAAATTAAAACACGTATCTTGAAATCAAATTAAAATGTTTTCCTACTCTAATAAACATTCCTAAGAGGCAAATGGAACACGGAGTGCAATTTACTTTGATGTACAAAACTCAGACAAACACATTACCGTATTCCTGCAATCGGCCCAGATGTTGAGGGCAGCCCCAGGTCCTTCAACCTGTTTCCAAGTCCCACACTAGATACACGAACGAATATTTTTTTCTAAAACTCTTTCAGTGGAACAGGCTCCTCCCCCCTCTAAGTTTTCCCAAGTCCAATTAAGCTCCGCCTTTCCAAGCCTAAGCCAATGAGTAAAAAGGCTGCTCTAGGCCTGAGGGCCTAGCCAATGGGACGTCTGGCACTACCCTGGGGGACTCCGCCCACTAGGCCTCTTTGTCTTCCACCAATCAAGGCTCCTGGCTGGACTGTAAGCCTGTCCTTAAGGTTCTGTTTCCCTTGACAGAAATCTTCAACATTCCCACGCCCACGTCCCCGGAACCTGGCACCCGAGGTCCAAGACACTGGCCATAGGCCGAGTTTATGGCACCGAGGCGAAATTTGAGACTACGGTTTGTAGCCCTGAGTGGACTGCTCTTCGAATTCATCACTGGTTATGGCAAAGGCAGGGGGAAGAGGGGAACGATTGGAGGGGGATTGGGTAGGATTTGGGATTGGAAGATTAGGGAATAGGGGACTGGAAGAGGAAGACATGTGGCCTGAGACGGTTGGACAATTAATGTTCCTTGCCTACACTCAATGAGTTTATGACCGAAGGTTATCAACAAGAGAGGGGAGGGGAACAATGGAAGCCAAGGCGAGTGAGGAAAGGGAAGGGGAAGGGGAAGGGAGAGGAGAAAGGGAAAAGGGGAAGGGGAAGGAGGAGAGCTAGGATCTGCGCAGATTATTACTTTACAACAAGATTTAACCCACTTGGTGAGGGAGTAATAAGTGGCAAGTCAGGAGTTGGGCTACCACTTGATATGGACAGCTGGAGAAGCCAGGAAATGATACTGGATTGCAACCAGGTTGTAGTAGTTTAGAGTGCCTTATGTTAATATTTTCATCTCTTTCATGTAGTGTACTCTATGTGTTCTTTGTCTATTAAATGTGTAGTTAACAGGTGTTTGCCCTTGTCCTGGTGAGGCTACCCAGAAAGCAGAATGGAGAGATAGAGAGAAAGAGAAAGGATCACAGCTGTGGACAGGGTGATAGAAAATACTGATTTACAAAAGGGGGATTGAGGAGATCACTCCAAACAAGGAGAGAGTGGGGAGTCATGGTGGCTCATGTAGGGTGTGTTCACAGGACAACGATGCCAGTGTTGGAGCTGCACCCAAGATATGTGGCGCTGAACCCCTCTCCAAAATCAAGAGGCGTACAGGGTGATTTCTTGAGAAAACTTCAAGCACTCCAGTTTATTGTTGGTCGACCGACGATAGCAGGAGTGTGGCTACCGAGGTCGGTTGTATGTTCTGGCAGAGAGTGGTTGAGGGACGTTGTCCACCTGCACGTGAGCAACAGTCTGGTGCATCAGCCAGCTCTCTCTTTGGAGGTTTAAGCTCCATTAGCCCCAACCCCTCAGGTCAGGACACGATATCCTCCATAAGAAAATCACGGACCTGAGGAGGAAGGAAAACAGGATAGGTAACATCAATGCTCACTATGCTGTATATCTCCTCACTAGACGCCTATGCCTTCCAAGTCTAACCTACTTTCTGAGGTGCGCCCCATCTTACAACAGCCAAGAGCTTGAAGATTATGACTCTACTGAAGACCGTGCTAGAAAAAGTTGTCAACCGTTCCCTCAATGACTGTCAGTGGAGACAAGCTACTCTTCCAATCAGGTTCGACAGCCTTAATGTCCGCACTGCTACCCAAATTTCTGTCCCAGCCATACTGTCTTCCTCCTTGGCATCAGATGACCTGGTCAAGGAAATTCTACCTGACATCCTGGGTGACTCAGCGGGGATACAAGACCCCCACTACTTGAAATGCAACACAAAGTGGGGTACCATGGCAGACCCAGCACTTAGCCCAACCATGCTGAAAGCCAAGAAACAATCCAGCTGGGACAGTTCCCTTGTAGACAAAGAAGCCACAGCTTTGCTGGAGGCAGCAACAACCCCCAGTGATCGTGCACGCCTCATAGCTGTGCAGGCTCCCCATGCAGGGGACTTCCTCTTGGCAGGCCCTATGTCTGCGAGAGGCACACGTCTTGACCCACAGCAACTCCGTATTCCAGTGTCGAGCAGAGAGAGAGAGAGCCTCGCAATCTAGTGAACAGTAACTCTGTTAGCTTTGCTGGCCAACCAGATAGAATCACACTGAGCCCCATGGAAAAATGGCAGACAATTAGCATGGGTGTATACTTGTATAGCCACCCTTGCAGTCATATACATCAACCTCTCTGTCGGCCAAGCACAAAAAAAGCAGGAGTTGTGGCCACACATAGAGAACGAGACAAATCAACCAAGTACAGGGAAATATATCTCTGGCACAACTTCAGTGCTGGAGAGTGCACGAAGGTTTCTCAAGGTCCGGGTTCCAGCCTTATTGAACCAAAAGACCTTGGAGCGGCGAGCTTTCTCCTCCAACGCTATAGTGTAATTTCAGGAAGAATGTCTGTTTGTCTATGTGTCCAGTGTTATAGGGCACATGATTGGGGCTAGCCTGAGGTCTGGGGTTTGGGATGAACATAGACTGGTCGGGGCTGCAAGAATTCAAAAGAGAAGAGCGTGCCAGGGTTACAGTCAGACCCCCACGATGAATTTTGGTACTGTCGCCCGGCTACACAAATAAGTATGTTCAAAACATACTTCAGAATTTTTTGTTTACAGTTCAGTAAAATCACAGTACTCTCTGGCTATTTGTGCCCGCTCACAGTACTTCCTGGCTGTATGTGTCCTCTCACAGTACTTCCTGGCTATATGTGTCCTCTCACAGTACTTCCTGGCTCTATGTGTCCTCTCACAGTACTTCCTGGCTCTATGTGTCCTCTCACAGTACTTCCTTACTATATGTGCCCTCTCACAGTACTTCCTGGCTATATGTGCCCTCTCACAGTACTTCCTGGCTATATGTGTCCTCTCACAGTACTTCCTGGCTATATGTGCCTTCTCACAGTACTTCCTGGCTATATGTGCCTTCTCACAGTACTTCCTGGCTATATGTGCCCTCTCACAGTACTTCCTGGCTATATGTGTCCTCTCACAGTACTTCCTGGCTATATGTGCCTTCTCACAGTACTTCCTGGCTATATGTGTCCTCTCACAGTACTTCCTGGCTCTATGTGTCCTCTCACAGTACTTCCTGGCTACATGTGCCCTCTCACAGTACTTGATGGCTGTAAGTAAACTCACGCAGTATTTCGTAGTTATATGTCCACTCCCAGAGTACCTCCAAGATATGTACTTCGGGCAAAATGTGAACTCCAAGAAATGATCCTGGCCAAATGTGCCCTCCCAAAGTACTTATGTACACCCATGTACACCACCGCAGTACACCCTGGTGAGCCAGCACCACTGTGTACACACAAGTCCCAATATTTCTGGTTGGTGACAAGACTGTCAACACGACCGCCCCAGTTAACCGGATAATTAGGGGCCTAATGAAGTGTAAACACTATGTTATTATTGTCATTAATCGTTCGCCTGAAGCTGGAGTGTAAACATTAGAATGGGAGAGGGAGAGAGAGAGAGAGAGAGAGAGAGAGAGAGAGAGAGAGAGAGAGAGAGAGAGAGAGAGAGAGAGAGAGAGAGAGAGAGAGAGAGAGAGAGAGAGAGAGAGAGAGAGAGAGAGAGAGAGAGAGAGAGAGAGAGAGTGAGAGAGAGTGAGAAAATCTAAAGATAGATAAATCTATCCTTTTAGAAAGCTAAAAGGATAGATAGATGTACAGATGGATGGGGTAGAAGGTTAGATGTTTAAATAGATGGATAGATGAATGGACGGATGGATGGATGGACAGAGAGATGGATGGGCAGAGAAATGGATGCACAGAGAGATGGATGGACAGATAGATGAATAGATATATGGATGGATAGATTCATATAAAGTTAGATAGCTGAATAGGCAGAGGGATTATTTGATGTAGAGAAAGTTGCATAGATACATAGACATAAAGGTGGATGGATATATGGATAGATCGAGGGATGAATAGATGGATATATAGGAAAATGAATTGATGGATTGATAGATGAATAGACAAATAGAGAGATAGATATGTAGATAGATGGACAAATGAGATACACTTATTTCTCAGTGTATCTGTATTGTTGATAAACAGTACAGATACAGACTACCCAGTGGCTTCAGTGGAATCCCAGGCTGTGTATCGTGAACCATGTCATGGTGGAGCGGGGGTAAGGTGCCCTGCTGGGAGTACCCAAGTCGCTGGTTCCAATCACTTCAGTCCTCTAACTATATTAATAATAATAAGTGATGTTGTCAATATCAGCGACGATGGAAGAGACGAGGAACGTCTCACAGGAAAGGGATAATGATCCATTCCATTTCCATCCCTTGCCCTCTTGTAACTGTTTCTCCCTCACCACACCCACGTCACCCTGCACAATGGCTCCCCGCGCCTCCCTTCCCCTCACACCTCTTGCCGGTCTTGTCATTAGGAGCGACTCTTCATTGATGAGCGCCTCGGGGACCTCGCTCTCTTTCTCTGCTGGGCGTCTAGCGAACACATTCATGGTCTTGCTCTCCTGCTTCTCCAGTCTCCCCTGACACACACACACACACACACACACACACACACACACACACACACACACACACACACACACACACACACACACACACACACACACACACACACACACACACACACACACACACACACACACACTCACACACACACTACCAGTTGATTGACAATTGAGAGGCGGGACCAAACAGCCAGAGCTTAACCCCCGTATCACAAATAGGTGAGTACAATCTTTCAGAACTTTGTATACCACATTTGTCAGACCAATCCTGGAGTATGCGGCTCCAGCATGGAGTCCATACCTAGTCGAGCATAAGACTAAACTGGAAAAGGTTCAAAGGTTTGCCACCAGACTAGTACCCGAGCTGAGAGGTATGAGCTACGAGGAGAGACTACGGGAATTAAACCTCACGTCCTAGGAAGACAGAAGAGTTAGGGGGGGGGACATGATCACCACATACAAGATTCTCAAAGGATTTGATTGAGTAGATAAAGACAGACCCTTTAATACAAGGGGCACACGCAGTAAGGGACACAGGTGGAAATTGAGTGCCCAAATGAACCATAGATATATTGGAAAGAACTTTTCTAGTGTCAGAGTGGTTGACGAATGGAATGCATTAGGCAGTTATGTGGTGGAGGCTGACTCCATATACAGCTTCAATTGTAAATATGAAAGAGCCCAATAGGGTTAGGAATCTGTACATCAGTTGATTGACAGATGAGAGGCGGGACCAAAGAGCCAGAGCTCAACCCCCGCAAGCGCAAATAGGTGAGTACAACAAGGTGAGTACGGTGTAGGGCGCTGGTAGCTGCGTGGACGGCACGCTGGAAACGTAATCCTGAGATCCGGGGTTCGATTCCCTGCGCAAGTACACAGTTAAAGACGCACGTTAAAGGAACCAGTATACACATGATTGTATGGCAACAACAAGGCACAAGTATACACATGATTGTATGGCAACAACAAGGCACAAGTATACACATGATTGTATGGCAACAACAAGGCACAAGTACACACATGATTGTATGGCAACAACAAGGAACAAGTACACACATGACTGTATGGCAACAACAAGGCACAAGTACACACATGATTGTATGGCAACAACAAGGCACAAGAACACACATGATTGTATGGCAACAACAAGGCACAAGTACACACATGATTGTATGGCAACAACAAGGCACAAGTACACACATGATTGTATGGCAACAACAAGGAACAAGTACACACATAATTGTATGGCAACAACAAGGCACAAGTATACACATGATTGTATGGCAACAACAAGGCACAAGTACACACATGATTGTATGGCAACAACAAGGCACAAGTACACACATGATTGTATGGCAACAACAACAAGGAACCAGTACACACATGATTGTATGGCAACAACAAGGAACAAGTACACAGCATGATTGTATGGCAACAACAAGGAACAAGTACACACATGATTGTATGGCAACAACAAGGAACAAGTACACAGCATGATTGTATGGCAACAACAAGGCACAAGTACACACATGATTGTATGGCAACAACAAGGAACCAGTACACACATGATTGTATGGCAACAACAAGGAACAAGTACACACATGATTGTATGGCAACAACAAGGCACAAGTACACACATGATTGTATGGCAACAACAAGGAACAAGTACACAGCATGATTGTATGGCAACAACAAGGAACAAGTACACACATGATTGTATGGCAACAACAAGGAACAAGTACACACATGATTGTATGGCAACAACAAGGAACAAGTACACACATGATTGTATGGCAACAACAAGGCACAAGTACACACATGATTGTATGGCAACAACAAGGAACAAGTACACACATGATTGTATGGCAACAACAAGGAACAAGTACACACATGATTGTATGGCAACAACAAGGAACAAGTACACACATGATTGTATGGCAACAACAAGGCACAAGTACACACATGATTGTATGGCAACAACAAGGAACAAGTACACAGCATGATTGTATGGCAACAACAAGGCACAAGTACACACATGATTGTATGGCAACAACAAGGAACCAGTACACACATGATTGTATGGCAACAACAAGGAACAAGTACACACATGATTGTATGGCAACAACAAGGCACAAGTACACACATGATTGTATGGCAACAACAAGGCACAAGTACACACATGATTGTATGGCAACAACAAGGCACAAGTACACACATGATTGTATGGCAACAACAAGGAACAAGTACACACATGATTGTATGGCAACAACAAGGCACAAGAACACACATGATTGTATGGCGACAACAAGGAACAAGTACACAGCATGATTGTATGGCAACCACAAGGCACAAGAACACACATGATTGTATGGCAACAACAAGGCACAAGTACACACATGATTGTATGGCAACAACAAGGCACAAGTACACACATGATTGTATGGCAACAACAAGGCACAAGTACACACATGATTGTATGGCAACAACAAGGAACAAGTACACACATGATTGTATGGCAACAACAAGGCACAAGAACACACATGATTGTATGGCGACAGCAACAACCAATTCAACAAGGAGACAAGAACATAACAGAGGAAGAAGACAATATAGTAAACAATCAAACACGGTCGCCATTAAGGCGACCGTGAAAACGTTTGGGCATATTCACATATTGAGAGCAAATATTGAGCCAGGCGTTAAAGGGTATGTTACGACCACTACTGTTCTACCAGCTGTCCTGCCTCACACGGGTGGCAGACTACTGCTCTACCAGCTGTCCTGCCTCACACGGGTGGCAGACTACTGCTCTACCAGCTGTCCTGCCTCACACGGGTGGCAGACTACTGCTCTACCAGCTGTCCTGCCTCACACGGGTGGCAGACTACTGCTCTACCAGCTGTCCTGCCTCACACGGGTGGCAGACTACTGCTCTACCAGCTGTTCTGCCTCACACGGGTGGCAGACTACTGCTCTACCAGCTGTCCTGCCTCACACGGGTGGTGGACTACTGCTCTACCAGCTGTCCTGCCTCACACGGGTGGCAGACTACTGCTCTACCAGCTGTCCTGCCTCACACGGGTGGTGGACTACTGCTCTACCAGCTGTCCTGCCTCACACGGGTGGCAGACTACTGCTCTACCAGCTGTTCTGCCTCACACGGGTGGCAGGCTACTGCTCTACCAGCTGTCCTGCCTCACACGGGTGGCAGGCTACTGCTCTACCAGCTGTCCTGCCTCACACGGGTGGCAGGCTACTGCTCTACCAGCTGTCCTGCCCCACACGGGTGGCTGACTACTGCTCTACCAGCTGTCCTGCCCAACACGGGTGGCAGGCTACTGCTCTACCAGCTGTCCTGACTCACACAAGTGGCAGACTACTGCTCTACCAGCTGTCCTGCCTCACACGGGTGGCTGGCTACTGCTCTACCAGCTGTCCTGCCTCACACGGGTGGCAGGTTACTGCTCTACCAGCTGTCCTGCCTCACACGGGTGGCAGATTACTGCTCTACCAGCTGTCCTGCCTCACACGGGTGGCAGACTACTGCTCTACCAGCTGTCCTGCCTCACACGGGTGGCAGGTTACTGCTCTACCAGCTGTCCTGCCTCACACGGTTGGCAGATTACTGCTCTACCAGCTGTCCTGCCTCACACGGGTGGCAGACTACTGCTCTACCAGCTGTCCTGACTCACACGGGTGGCAGACTACTGCTCTACCAGCTGTCCTGAC